TTCATTATGTAACTTCCTCCATGTAGAATAATTCACACAGTTCCAATCTTCACTATCACAAGGATCCAAACACCTCCTCATAGCATCTTTCAGGAGAGTATAATTAGTTTTAGATTAAGCGGACAAACCACTATAAACGTCATGAGCCTGTTCCAATTTTAACTTCTTCACATCTTCACAGTGAATATCCCATACGTTAATGCAACATCTGCATGCATGTCCATTTCATGTTTCAGAGAGTTAAAATGTGAAATTGACACGGTGGATGCGATGAACTTGGCGTGTCTATTTATACGTTTTGCTGTGATATATATCCTACAGGATTTTCTATAAAATGTTTTTGTTCACAGTAAAAAATATTTCAAATTGTTGCTTAACACTCGAAGAACATTCCTGAAGGATGACTACACACGCATTCCTATTGGTGGAAAACACTGAGCTGAACAGATCTGTTTCGTTTGTGTGTTTGCCTGTCTTAATACGTGTGCCTGTATTTACATTGATGTTGCTGTGCATAGTATAGACAGGATATAGTCTGTGGCAATTTTATTTGTTTATTTATTTACTTTACTGATAGGTACTTTGACTTTATTGGGTATTCAAATATTTACTAAAGGTATTCAGTAGTCATCAGAAGGTCCTTAGTTTTCGGTCAAAGTACCCTGTCCCCATATACCTCATTTCAGGGTTACTGGCAACTCTGTTGACCCTTGTCCTTTGCTCTTTTCAGCTTCATCTGTGCCTTCTTTATTAAATTTCCATCTCTTCAAGTGCTCTCTGAAATTCCATTAATTCCCTCTTTGCACAGATGAATATATATACAGTGTTAGGGATGTCGCTGATGAAATAAACAGAATCATTTGTTTTACAGTAGCCACAGCATTCCACACATTTCTCTTGCAGTGCACTGACAGAAAACTTTTCAGTAGAGCGTACAGCCCGATTCGATCCGGTGGGGGGATGCCAGATCAGGCGCCCCCATCCGGCTCTCCTCTCTCCTGTCTTGTCAGTTGTCTTACTTCTCTCTATTACCTTTTCTATCCCTTTGAAGAAGTGAGGCT